CACCACTAAGGGAGCCTTCCATTCGTGAATGAAGCATGATGGCAATTTACTGGCAACTTCGGGAAGCCCGCCTTAACGGCGTGAAGTGGTGTGCCTTTGCGACTTGCAGTGGGGTTTGTTCCATTGCAAGGGCCGCTGGATTCTTGGTTGTGCATGCGTCTTGAACAGATATTTACCTGGCACGCACTGCATAGGGTATCTTGGTCTGGTTCTGGCTATCGTCCATCACAAGCCCCAGCTATCTTTGCGTCATCGGGATCCTCGCAGCTAGGCCTGCTTTGGATCTGGATCGTTGAATGCCACGGTCTGGTAGGAGTGTACAAGTGAGGATTTGGCCCACTGGCCCAGCTGGTCAGCCTCGAGACAAACATGTTTGAGGCCGAGGTGCCGATCAGCGGTCGGCGACATCTCGTGAAGGCAAGCTTCCGGTCAGGAAGCTCGAGTGTCGCTTTCGGCCACGGTGGCCATGGGCAGTGGGTTGCTGGCGGATTTGCCACAAGGGTTTAGCTTTAGGTCAGTGGGACTCAAGCAATAGTTGATGTCAGCGACTCACCGACTCCTGATTGACAATTTCTGAGCTATCGTCGTGACACTCTTTGAACGGTCTTCCCCCTGTCTGCTTGGAGTATCAAGCTTTCGCATTTTCGATCCACAGAGCAGTGGACCAGCCTGGGCAATGTGCGGGGCGTGACTGCACTTGCCAAGGCTGTTTGTGTTGCTTTCTTGCTGGGCCAACAGAGTAATGTGATATATGATTCGTGATAGACTCATCGTCTGATACTTCAAATTTGACGTTGAAGCAATCTTTTTAAGGCCCAGCCCCAGGGAGGCTGATGTTTCCAAGCGCTTCAGCGCGAGCAGTGCGAGTCCCTTTACACCTGCAAAGCTTGTCCACCTACCAGTGAGCCATGTTGCCTCGGCGGTGTCGCCGACTACTACTCCTGTGAGGTCTATTGCACACTGTAGGCGAATCTATTTGGCTGCAGGTGGTGAAGGCTGCACGTGACACTGTTTGGTGTCCCACGAATTGGCTCTGTCGAGCCAGCAGCATTTGTGTAGGATGTCAGTCTGATGTTGACTCGTCTATCTAATCTGCGGCAATTGGGGCACGGGAAGGGCGTTGTTGTGATACATATTGTCATTGAAGGTGATATCTGTTGATCGAAGCAACAGGTCTTGTTTGGTCCTTTTGGGCCCTTCCCTAGATGCCAATCACAGTGAACATCTGCACTTATTTGTTGCGGCGGAAGGAGTGGCATTGATGACAGGAAAAGTGTTGGTCGCGAGAGGAGTATCAATCAGTGAGTAGCTGGGATACGGTAGCTTGGCCTTGAGCTTTGGTCATGAGCCCACTGTATAGGGTGAAGTCGGTTTCGTTAGCTTGTGCTTTGGCAGCCAAGATTGCATTGCTCAGGTTGGTGCAGTTTCAAAGTTTGGCCGGACCACGCAGTCTGGAAGCATTGCAGGAAATTCGGGATATCACAAGGCAGGGAAGCCAATGAGATGCATACATGTCTGAAGTCTGAAGCTGACCATGTATTGATCGGCTCTTCAGTGGGCTCTGTTCCATGAGATTTCATGTTTTGCATAAGCTATGCATATCACTTGCAGGCCATTTTCAAGGACTCGGCTGATTGGTCGGCTGATTGGTTGGTCGGCTGGCTGGCAAGTTGCCTGGTTGGCAGGTTGGCCGGTTGGTCGGTTGCGTTGCTTGTTTGACTGCTGGCTAAGGAGTTTCTGAAATGCTGAAGGCCCAATGGCTGAATGGCTGCAGGAGGGAATAGCTTGTTTGCGTCGGTACCAATTTCAATGATGTTTGAAGAATATTTTCAGTGGGCATGTGTATGCACGCCATGGAATGGATAAGACGCTCACTCAAACAGTCACGCGGTCCTGAAGCGACGTGAATGGTGCATAGCATGACGTATGCAACCTTGGAAATGCGTCAGGCTTTGTTCATACTGAGAAGCAAACAATACTACACAGCCGGTACAGCAAATTACATGTTCGATGGATCAGTACACCTGCACTTTCAGTCCGCCACAGAGGCTTTGAAACATTTTTGCAACAGCACTGCCATAGATATGTGTGTGGACACTGCAGCAGATTGTTGGGATGATTGATGCAGTGATGAATGCACAGATCTGCGGATGCACGAGCAGACGCATTGATGCATGCAGCATCAATGCAGGATGCATCAGTGTGCGCGAGTTGAGGTATGAATGTGTGCAGGAATATCGTGTTTGGATGCTTGAATGCATCGATTCATCATATCGAGTGGCGCAGTGTTCTTTGCAGGCACGCTGAAGTGTTTGGCAGGTTAAACAAAGAAGAGCTCAAAGACAAGCTAGAGCAGGACCACGACTGGTAGTACGAACATTCCGCCCTGGAAGAACATGCTTGATTGGAGGACCTTCTGTCTGAAACAAAACTGAAGTTGGACATCCTTGCGATCGCCGAAGCTCGCTACTTGGCCAGCACAAGCCATGGTTTTGTTGCT